GCGCGCCAGGGACCTCACGTTCGCCTTCGACCGCGTCTTCGGCGAGGCGGCCACGCAGGAGGAGGTTTTCYGGCACACCACGCGGGACCTCCTGGACGGCGTCCTCAGCGGCTACAACTGCTCCGGTGAGGCCGCGCGGCCGGGGCAGCGGGCGCCGCGCGGGGTCATCCCGCTGCCCAGGGCTCGGCGCCTCTGGCTCAGCGCCCGTGGTTCCCAGCGCAGCCCACCCGGGCTGGGCAAAGGCGGAAGGACCCGGGCCGCTTCCAGCACGGCGGCCGTTTGGCTTTCCCTGTCCTTGCCAACCTGAATCGTCGCGTCAGGCGCAGCCCCGGCTGGGGACACGCTGTGGGCGAGGGGCTCGTGGGCCCTCACGGGCTGTCGGGAGAAGGGCACAGGCCGCGCACAGCTCGTGCGAGGCGGCCGGCGCGCGGCGATGCTATTCCTGGCTCTGCCGCCAGCAGCCGAGGGCTGCCGCTGTCACCGTGCCCACCTGGCAGGTCTGTCTCRTGTCTCTGTCTGCATAAAATAACTCCAGGAACCTCAAATGAGACGCTCGCTGAGCACAAAGTGTTGCTAATGGGGAGAAGGGCTGAGAGTCTCCAGATTAGTGTGTCCTGCTCTGATGTTAATGCTTCAAAGAGAGTGTTGAAAGATGGAGGGGGGAAATGAGATGAGTTACAAGGTCTGGGAGAGAAAAAACACCTTCTAGTGAGAGACAGGGGCACCGGGGCYGCTCGGCTTGTTAATGGGAGGCTTAAAGGGTGACTTGAGAGCGGCCTCCAAGTGCCTAAGCAGGTGGTGGCTGGGGGACTCGTGCTGCTGTCATCTGCTAAATTAAAGATCCTGCTGCTGAAAGCTGAAGCCAGACAGAAATTGCATGGAGGACAGTGCAGCTTTTTCACACTGAGAGCAATTAACTGCCAGGCCAATTTGCCTGATCGCCRTCCTCCCCCGCGGAGGCTCGAGCGGCCCCGGCCCCGTGGCGGGGGCTGTTGGCCAGGAGGCCACGTTGGCTGCTCCTKTTCGGGGTGGCTGCAGACACCCCCTCTTTCTCTCACAGTGTTTGCGTACGGTGCGACCGGAGCGGGGAAAACCTACACCATGCTGGGCTCCGAGAAGAGCCCGGGCATCATGTACCTCACCATGGCGGAGCTCTACAGGAGGATCGAGGCCAGGAAGGACGAGAAGAGCTGCGAAGTGCTCGTCTCCTACCAGGAGGTACTTGCTGTGTCCCGCCTGGGTCCGCTCCCTCCACTAGGAGTTAGGATTGACACAGCTCCTGTGGCGTCTCCCAGCTGTGTCCAGATGTAGAAAGCTCCTTTCTCTGTTTGCTGCACCTTGTTGCTGGGCAAGCAACCCGTGTCTTGCTGTGCCTTGCTGCAGGTGTACAACGAGCAAATCCACGACCTCCTGGAGCCCAAGGGCCCCTTGGCAATCCGGGAAGATCCAGAGAAAGGCGTCGTGGTTCAGGGGCTCTCCTTCCACCAGGTAGGTGTGAAAGGTGGGTGCGAGACCTGGGGCACACGGTGCCTGAAGCAGCTCTGGAAGCAGCTGCGTGTCCCGGGGACACTGCGCAGCAGATGTGACCCTGAGCTGGCGCCTGGCCATGCAGCAGGACGGCTGAGCTCYAGCTGGTTGCTGTTGGGTTGGTTCGGTGCCTGGGTCCCTGATCCCTGTCTCCGTGCATTCCTTGCCAGCCCAAGTCGGCGGAGCAGCTCCTGGAGATGTTGGCCAACGGCAACAGGAACCGCACGCAGCACCCCACCGACGCCAACGCCGCCTCCTCCCGCTCGCACGCCATCTTCCAGGTGAGCGGTGGCACTGGCAGGGAGTCCCTTGGGATTCGTGCCAAAAGCCAGGCTAGAAAGCAAGGCTGGGCAGAGTCTGACTTCCTGAGGGCAGAAATTTTACCTTAGACCTTTAATTCTTGCAGATTTGGCAGTTGGGAAGTGTAGAGTATTACCTGGTTTAGAGCAAAGGGGCATCAGTTGTCACAGGCTCTTTCCTGAATGCCTCTGGGCAGCCTCTTTGCTCCCGCTTGGTGCTGCGCCAAGAGCTGCCTCTGCAKCCTGGTGGGATTGGCCCCGGTGCCTTGGCGCTCTCCTGCAGAAGCCTCCCAGTTGATTTGGATTCCAGGCAGGCGGCTCCCCGGGTTCGCAGGGCCCTCACGGCCGCGCGAGGGCACCGAGGCCTCTGGCGGCAGCTTCGGCGCGGCCCTGGCGCCCGTCGCTGCTCGCAGGGGCCGCGCAGGTGTCTGGGCGGCTTCCCAGCCTTCCTGCCTGCCGCGGCTCCCTTAGCCCCGCGGGAAACTGCCCGGCCGCGCTGCGGAGCCCAGCCCTGTGGGAGGAGCGGGACCCGTGCGAAGGCCTCAGCCCACGGAGGAGGCAGTGTGTCCTGCCTGGGGAGCTCCYGGGGATGAGCAAGATGCAGAGGGTGTTTCGTGTCGGTGGGAGGGGTGTTTCCTTCTCCTGGAAGGTCTCTAGGGCTGCCCGCGGAGGCGGGAGGGCAGTGGAGCCTCAGCAGCGCTGCCATTTCTCCCCAGAGTGGCTGCGAAGCGTCCTCGGCACCAGGGAGCTCTGGTCACCCCCGCCTTGGGGACGTCTCTGTGCCGGCCTCTCCGGGGTGGCTTGGTTTGCTCCTGCATTGTGATCTCCCAGCCCCGTTCTTGAGGCAGGACCTTGAGCCCACCTCGGAGCTTGAGGCTGACGCTGCACGAGCCCTTCTCRGGTGCCAGCAGGTCTTGGCGAGCGTGGAGCCCTGCAGAGACCCTGCTCGCTGGGTGCTGCCTGTGGAACAGCATGGGGGATCCTCACTGCTTTCCCAAACGCTGGTAGCTTCGTGTGAGGTCACCTGCAGGGCTTTGCCACTCGTRTCGTCGCAGTTTGGGCTTGTCTTGTCAATGTGCGAGGACTCTTTCCCCTCCCCTGCCGTCCTGGTACCTGTGACCCATTTCACTCACTGTCCTTTTACAAAGAGCAGCACCTCACCCTGCCGGCGCCGCAGCCTCCAGCCAGCAGCATCGCCCCTGATTCAGCCGTGGCCTCACAGATCTCTGTGCTTGCAGATCTACGTGAAGCAGCAGGACCGTGTGGTCGGCCTCACTCAGGAACTCCAAGTGGCCAAGATGAGTTTGATCGACCTGGCGGGCTCGGAGAGGGCTTCGGTCACCAAGGCCAGAGGAGAGCGGCTCCGGGAGGGCGCCAACATCAACCGCTCGCTGCTGGCCCTCATCAATGTCATCAACGCTCTGGCCGACGCCAAGGTAAAGCTGCTCCTCCGGGAGAGGGGAATGTGAGGGGATCCTCGTGCACCAGACCTGGGCATCTCTCCGTTGTGGTGTGGGTGGCAGTTTGGCTTGGGGACAGCAGGAGAGATGGCTTTGATGGGCGGTTTGGGATGTGCGTAACCATCCCTCCTGGCACGGGACTCGGGGCTGAGCAGAGCCTGGATCTCTCGGTGCAGAGCAAGAAGACCCACATCCCGTACCGGGACAGCAAGCTGACGCGCCTGCTCAAGGACTCCATCGGYGGCAACTGCCGCACCGTCATGATCGCGGCCGTGAGCCCCTCCGCGCTGGCCTACGAGGACACCTACAACACGCTCAAGTACGCCAACCGCGCCAAGGACATCAAGCTGGCGGTGAGGGCCGCGCGGCGCCGCCCAGGGCACCTCTGCTCTTGGGACTGCCTGGGTGTGGGGAGGAGGGAGCTGCGTTCCGCAGGCTGCCGTAGTGCGGGTGGGTAGGTCGTTGTGTGAACCCTCTAACCACGAAGCTACACGTCCTGAGCGCCCTCTTTTCTTCTAAAGCCCCTCTGCCCAGAGCCTAGAAAGGTTCATGAGTGGGACATCAAGTCCCTGAGTGTAGATGATGTCTGTTCTAGTCACCCTGGGGATCTCTGAGCGCAGAAGTTGTTGAGGGGCTGCCTTTCTCTGCAGCCGGGAGAAGGGGGTACCTGCTGCCTCTGTGCTTTTTCAGCCCCTAGCTCATCCCTGTCTCCACAGCTGAAGAGCAACGTGCTCAGCCTCGACTGCCACATCAGTAAATACGCCGCGATCTGCGAGCAACTGAAAGCAGAGGTGAGATGTTGCTGAGGAGGGGGGGCTCGCAGAGACGAGACGCCGGCCCTGACGTTCCCTGATGCTGCACGAGCTGCGCCGGGGCCGTGCGCCGGGCGGGCCGCGTGGYCTCCCCGCGGCGGGCGGCTCCGCTCTGCTGGTGCGGAGCTGCCCGCGAGAGATGCCCTTCCCTTCCCTCCCAGGTGGCCGCGCTGCGGGAGAAGCTCCGCGCCTACGAGGGCAGGGCACAGGACGCAGAAGAGCAGCCGCCAGCTCCCCCCGGCCCGAGCCCTGCGGGGCTGCCCAGGTGAGGCTGAGAGCTGCCTGCGACCTCCCCGTGCCGAGCGGAGCTCTGCGCACCGCTYGCAGCCCCGGCATCAGCACGGAGCAGCCGCGCTTGTCTGCCGGGCTGTGCCCATCCTCTTGTCTGTGCGCAGACCTAACGAGGCCGGACAGACCGCGATGTGCGAGCGTCACGGGAAGTTGGGCTGCAAGGACCAATTCTTGTTCTGTCTCATTCATCCCCAAACTTCTTAGACAAATGCGACAGCTTTCCCGGCAGATCTTCTTTAGCTCAGTGACTTCCCCTCTGGAGATTTCTCTTCCCCAGGGTTGTTTCTGCTTTATGTAGGTTGGAAGAAGCTGTCCCAAACACATGCTCAGACCCCCCAGTTTCCTGGGAGGGAGACCAAGAYGCAGATGCAGCGCAGCCAGAATTGGAAGCTGAGCAGCTTGTTCAGCCAGAGGAGCTGGAACAGGAGGAAGAGGTGAGAGAAGGAGCAAGCAGCAAGGGGCAGCTTCCCAGGCCGCTCGGGGGCACCTCTGGCTCAGCTCGGCCTGCTGAGAGGGCAGGAGCTCATCAGGCCTGTGGGTCCCCAGGCGCCTGGCTCAGCGTGTGCCGGGCTGTGCGCTGCTAGCAAAACCCATTAACTTCCCTGATAACGGTGCGTTCAGGGCAGCAAACTCAGCTCGGATACGGGCTAATCCTGGGATGGATGGCTAAGCACTTTTGGGATGATCGTTGCAGGCTCAAGAGGAGGTGCCCCCCAGCAGCCCCAGAGCATCCCACCACGCAGATCTCCAGCTGCAAACGAAGACAGCAGAGCTTCCTCTGCAGGGGTTGTCCCACAGCCGGCTGGAGACGTGAGTGTCCTTGTGCCGCCCCCATGTGCCCCTTCCTCCCGGYTGGTGGCAGCTGCTGCCGCCCGGAGAGGGCAACCTGTGCCCACTCCTGTTGCACACAGCGGTCTGAGGGACATTATGGATTTGGGAGTTGGTCTTTGCTTGTAGACAACTGCCTTGCTGTTAAAAGAGCAAGGCTCCTGGGGCTTTAATTCCATGGGATAACCTTCCTCAGACATGAAGTAGAGAGAGCTAGATAATCCCTGGGGATTCACCTGGGAAAGGTCCTCCTTTTATACCTGTCCTCGTTGGTTGTGCTTGGGAACAAGAAGACATTAGCTCGGGAATCAGATAGTGCAAGGAATAGTCAGACAGGTCTTTCTGTCCTGGAAATGCTGCTTCCACCAGCAGACAGAGGTTTCCAGGCACAGCAAAAGCAGGAGCCTTAAGTGCAAATCATTAGTCCCAAAATTGCCTCTGCAGCTGCTCCTGCTGCCTTGGCTCCCGCAGGCCCTGCCCTGGCAGGACTCCCGTGGCACCGTCTACTGGAGTCTCTGCCCAGGCATCCTGGCAGAGGGAGCTGCTTTGGAAAGGTCTTCTGAAGGAGGCTGGTCCTGATGTGTGCCTGGATCTCCATCTGGCGCTTTTCCAGCACTCAGACACTCTAATGAAGTTAAGAGAAGTCTGTGGGTGCCGTTTCCGCCACCTTGGAGCCAACAGGTGAAGACGCAGTTAGCAGCTCACGCTCTCTGGGTGGGGATTTGCAGCTCAGGTATCTTACGGCTGCAGAGTTTGCTTCTCTCCTCCTCCTAAAGGCACTCAAGAGCTCTGTCCCARGGGAGCAGCTATCTAGAGGTGACACTGGTGGTCCTGAGCCTCTGCTGCTGGTGACAGTGGCCCAAGATCAATGGCTAACTGGTTCCTGCCCCTGAATGCAGATGGGCTGCTTTATGCCGGATCAGAGGGAGGCCATGTCCCCTCATCTGCCACTGTGTCCCTCTCTGTCCCAGGCTCGTAGCCGCTGTCCTCAGCGTTGCCCGGAGGCAGTACTCCCTGCTCAGGGCTGCCAGCCTCTTAACTCCTGACATGGTCTCGGAATTTGAGGAACTGGAGCGCACAGTCCAACAGGAGGCAGGTGCCAGTCTGGAGCAGGTCGGGCAGCAGAAGGGGCCCGCAGAGACCAGCGGAGCTGCTGCAGGAGGGACTCGGCAGGACCGACACGGTGAGGACGTGGGCAGGCGCTGTGGCCCCCTCCGCTCCTTGGCACATAAAGCGTGGCTTGAGGGGTGCGCTGCGGGGGGACAGTGGTGGCCATGGGCATACGGCTGCGAGCTGAGTTTCCTCCTGCTGTGGTCCCTTGTGGGCTGTGCCTAGAGCAGCTCCCAGCCCCGTTATTTTGCAGAGCTTTTTGGGCTAATGTGCATCCCTGGCAGCCTGGGGCCCCAAGGAGCAGCGCCAGCCCTTGTCTCGGCGGATTCGGCRTGTGCTTGTGCAAGTCAGCTTAAACTGAGCAGTGCTTGCGGCCTGGGGGACCGAGGTGGCAGTTCTGCCCCTCACTCTTCCAGCCAGGTTGACTCCTCCCAGGAACATTTTCCCGAGTCAGCCCAGCTCCAGCCTTGCKGCCTCTCAAGCTCTTCTTCCTCCTCCCCAGCATCAGGGCACAAGCCCAATAGTGAAGTCTGCTGCGCACCCTCCTTTCCAGGGGCAGACTGGGCACTTGCTTTGGGGCTCATCCGATGCCTTTAGCTTAAGGAAGCATCGGGATTTGTCGTGGCGCTGTCCCTGTAGGTTTCCTGTGAACGCGGTTTGAGGGGAGAGCCGAAGCTCGTACCAGGGCTGGGCAGGGAGGTGACTGTCCTGCTTTCCTCTAGCTGAGGCAGCTKTGGGTGCCGCTGCCGCCGAGTGCCGCGTCCCTGCGGCTGGAGCTGTCCCGCAGCAGCCGCTCCCGCCCGGCAGCCCCGCGCCGCCGCTGCCCGGCCTGCCCAAGAAGAGGAGGAGATYGGAGGCGGGAAGCGCGTCCGGCCCAGGGACGCCCCCCAGCCTCACGGCGAGGGCCAAACGACGGCGGAGATCCAGCCCGCCGGAGGCGCGGGAGGGCTCCGCGAGGGGAGCAGAGGCTCCCGGGGCCACGGGCACCCCCTGTGCCAAAGCGGCCGGGTCCTGCCCGCTCCTGCCGTCTTGCGCCCCCGAGATCTGCCCGCTGACSGTCACCAAGAGGCGCCTGCCGCTGGCCACGTCGGCCGTGCAGAACGGCTGCGCGCCGGCCGCGCTGGCCCTCCGCGACCTCAACATGACGTTCGACCTGTCTGAGGACGGCGCCTCTCCCGACGGGGCCAAGCCGGAGACCTTCAGCGTGTCCCGCTTCCCTGGCTGGGAGAATGTGCAGTGCCTCCTGAGCCAGCAGGACGGGCCCTTCGCATGCAGGTCGGTGCTGCCCGCCCGGSGTCTCGGCGCTCCCGTGTGGGTCGCCCTGTGGCGGGTGCAGGGCCGCACCTTGTGCGGATTCTCCTGGCTAGGCAGTTCCCACCTGAGCAGGCGGTGGGCTAAGTTTGGGCACAAATTGCTTGCAGAGATAAGGGAAAATGTTCTGAAAAATCAGGTGCTCTYGCTCCCTTTCCATTTGGGCCTTGGAGGAATATCCTTCAGGGCATTCAGAGAGACCCATGTGCGTGTCGGAGCCAGTGGGGCCCTGCCTCTTCTTGCGGGGAGCCATGGAGAAGCTGCAGCAGGGACCGGGGCAGCGTTGCCTTCACTGCGGTTGCTTCAGAGCTGCTCTGGCCTGTGCAGAGCTGTGCAGTCCTCTGGGAATGGAGACGGTGACGCCCTTGGGAACTGGGGAGATCCTCAAGCGCCTGTCCCCTGCAAAGGGTACCTGGAGAAAGGGAGGCGGGGAGGGGYGGCCGCAGCGTGGGAATGGGCCCGTCACACGGTTCCTGCCGCCTCGTGCACATCCCTCCAGGCCTCCTCTGTGCCCGGTTCCGTGCCTGCGCGTGGCACTGCCCCTGCCTCGTGGGCACAGGAGGAGGGGTCGGGATGCAGCCTGCCGTGGTGCAGGGACCCTCTGAACCTCCTTTCCTCGGCAGCGGCGCCTCCGTCCCTGTGTTCACTATGAGGGGCTCCTCCATCCCCAAGCCCTGCTCCGGCTCCAGGACGTCAACCCAGAAGCGAAGGCGAGCGGCGAGGTGAGCGGAGCCGCGCGCGGCCGTGTCCACATCCGTCCCGCTGCCGGGAGGGCTGGGCGCCGCGCTCTGCCCCGGCCCTCCCGCAGCCCCGCGCTTCCCTCGGCAGTGCCGCTTCCCGCTCGCTCGGAGCGCCGCAGAGCCGCGTCGCCCGCCCGTCGCGCGGCAGCCGCGGGGCCGCGCCGCCCCCGGCCGGCACGGGTGAGTCCCGGCCTCCCCCCAGCCGCGGAGCTGGCAGCCACGGCGGGAATCAGGCGATGGGTGCCCAGGCGGTGGGTGCTTGGAGGACACCGTAGCGCAGGCTGGCACAGGCAGTGCCGGGGCTCCCCTGGCACCGATGGGCTTGGTTGGTTTTATCCAGCCTCATCCTCCTCTCTCTCTTTCCACTCTCAGAGCGTCCTGTGAGCAGCCTGGGCCAGAAGGGTGGCAGGAGGAGCACGACGGAGCTCCTGGCTGCTCCCAAACCGCAGCTCCTGAAGCTCTTGTACTGACTGTCCCTAAGGAAAAGGACTCCTCGCTGGGGCGGCCCGTGCTGAGGTGCTGAAATCTGCCCCTCTCCCTGAGCTCCGTCACGTCCTGTCGGCTCTTTCCTCGAGGTTTGGTGACCCATCTGCCCCTTGTGCTCCAAGCTTGTTCCCAGCCACCTCCTCTCCCTGCCCAGCTTGGGGTGCCCCAGCCTGGCCCCAACACCTTGCAGCTCCACATGCCGGCAGCGCCCRGGTCCTGCTGGCACCTGCATCCCGCTGCCTCCTGTTCCACGTGCATGGGTTACTGCGAGCACGGCGCCRACAGGCGAGCGCTGCTATGAACGAGGCCGGGTGCTTAATAAAGCCTGCAGCTCGAGCAGCAGCGGGGCCGAGGCAGCCAGGGACTCTCACTTGCCGTCTCCTTGCGCGCGGAGCCGGGCAGGACGGGGCGGGTGCCGTGGGAGCCGCGCGGGGCCCTTGGTGGCTGTGCGCTGTGACGGGCCGCGTGTCYCGCTCCACGGTTCCGGGGCTGCTGMGGGAGCAGCTCTGTCCCTCCGCTGCGTCACTCCTCATGTCCAGCTCCGTGCCCGGGGCTGCGGGGTGGGAACRGGGCCCACTGCCCCCCCGCTCCTGCCTGACACATCCGCACGAGCCGCTCCCGAGGGAGTGCAGGGCCCCCGGCCCTGACCTACTTCACTCGCCCGCCGCCGCAGCCTTTTGTCTCCTCGGCAGCTCCTCGTGAAAACGAAGTCAGTCCCGTTATGGGGCGGGGGGAGCTCGCGCCGCGAGCGGCGGCCGCGCTTTGATCCTGGCTGCCGAGGAGCCGGCAGGGACTTCAGCGTCGGGGGCAGCGGTGGAGCCGCCCTCGATGCCCTGCGTTCCAGGGAGGGTCGCGGTGCCCCGGGCTCTGCGTCACTGGTGGCGTCACGGGGGCTCTGGCCCTGAACCCCACGTGCTTCACTACCCTGTGTGAGCCGGGGCCCAGGTGTCCTGCAGGCCGGGCTGCCACYGCCGCAGCAGCCCCCTTCCCCCGTCCTGCTGAGCGGGGCTCCCAGAATCACAGAACCCTGGAATGGCCGAGGGTGGCAGGGACMCCTAGAGCTCACCCAGTGCAGCCCCTGCTCCACAGGGACACCCCGAGCACGGGGCACCCGGGTACATCCCGGTGGGTTTGGGAGGTCTCCAGAGCAGGAGCCTCCCTGGGCAGCCTGGGCCAGGGCTCGGGCACCCCCACACTCACCTTGTTCCTCCTCCCATGGAGATGGAGCTGCCCGGGGTTCAACTTGTCCCCATTGCCCCTTGTCCTGGCACTGGCCACCACTGAGAAGAGCTTGGCCCCKTCCTCCCTCCGTTCTCCCCTCAGGTGTTTGTACCTGTTGATCAGGTTCCCTCTCAGCCTCCTCTTCTCCAGGCTGAACCCGCCCTGCTCGCTCAGTCTCTCCTCGCAGGAGAGCTGCTCCAGCCCCTTCATCATCTTGGTTGCTCCCAGCACTGTCCCTGCTGGCCCTGGTGCTGCCAGGACAAGGTTGTCCCCTCCGGCGCCGGCTGTGGCCCCAACCCCGCTGGCCCCGCGTGGCGCCCGCGGAGCCTTTCCCGACCAGCGGCTGCCCTCTAGCTGCTGCCAGCGCTGCTGTCACCGTGGGGTCCCTGTCGTCCCCAGGGCTGCACACGGGGACCTTCGCTGGCTCTGCCTTGATCACCACTGGCTGTTGCTCCTGCAAAGCTGCTGCGCCTGTCCCCTGTGTCCCCAAGGTGTCCTCGACCTCGCTCTGCTCCCCACCAGCCTGGAGGTGCTGGCTGCCGCCCACGCTGTCCCCAAAGTCCCGCTGTCCCCATGGTGCTGGGGCTCACAGGGGATGCAGCTCATCCCCCCCTCCCAAATCCTGCCGGGAAAACCCCAGAATCCAGTGGCTCCGGAGCCTGGTGCCAGCCCGGCCCCACGTTTCTCTGCCAGGAGCCCCGCTGTCCCCGCGTCCCCATCCTGGGCACCACTGGCACAAAGCTCTGTTCAGGCCGCTCCGGTGCTGGAAAAGCTCCTGGCCACGTGYGGGGTGCCGTGGGGGGGCCCGGCTCCTCCTGGCACCCCCCCTGCAGCTGCGGAACGGGCGAAGGAGCCGGGTTTAACAGAGGCTCCTCCTTAGCCCCCCTGCTGCCGTCCCCAGGATGGCGGGAGCCAGATCCCCCCGGCTCTCCTGACATCCCTGGAAGGCGATCRGGAAGAGGCCTGGTCGGGGCCGGCGCTTGCACTGTGCTGAGATGGAACCGCCCTGGGAGGGTTCGGACAGGCACTAATTAAAGTCTCTCCTAATCAGCGTTTGCTCCACACGGGCCAGCGGCCACCGCGTGGGGACACGTGTGCGCGGCGGGACAGGCAGGGGTGCGCATGGCCGCACGTGCGTGTATGTGCACACACGTGTGTGCGGGGACCTTGACAGGCCTGTGCATGGCTGTGTGTGCACGTATGGGCATGGGGATGCAGATGTGCCYGTGCACAGCTGTGCACATGTATGTGCATACATATATGGGCACACAGACATGTCAGTGCACAGCTGYGCATGCACATACATGCATATGTGTAAGGAGAACATGGATATTGACATGCACAGAGGTGCAAGGGATGCAGATGTGTASGTGCACAGATGTACACACATGTGCATGGGAGATGCGATGCAGACCTGCACGTGCACAGCTGTACATGCATGTATTTACACACACATRGGGATACAGACTTGCACGTGTACGAATGTACGTGTACACATGTATAGGGACACAGGTATGCAGATGCCCAGAATTGCACACATGTATGTGTATGTCTAAGGGGATGCAGATGTGCACACACATATTTGCACATATGCATGGGGGATGCAGATAGGCACGAGCTGCAGCATCTGCGGCCCCGCGCGGCCCGTCCGGAGCCCGAGCGCCGCAGCCGCGTCCAGCACCCGGGCGGCCTGCGCGGGACCCGGGGAGCCCAGGGAACCCGGGGGGAAGGGGATCAGGGTGGCCACCGGCAGCGGAGCTGTGACAGGGACCAGGGTTGTCCCAGGCACCAGGGTGGTAATGGGGACCAGGCAGCGGGATGGCCCCTGGGATGGGAATCTGGGTGGCTCTGGGGACCAGCGTGAGGATGGGAACCAGGGTGACCCTGGGGACCATGGAGGTGATAAGGCTGCTCCTGAGGAAGACCATGGTGTCCACCAAGGGACATGGGCTGGGGCCTGTGTCCGTGTCCATGTGTGTCCATGTCCAGGTCTGTGCTGTTAGTGTCTTTGCCGTGGCCACATCTGTGCCTGCATCCGTGCCCATGGCTGAGACCGTGCCCATGACCGTGCCCGCATGGCCACACTCAGCTCCAGGCCGCGTGAGACAGCCCAGGGTGGCCGAAACCTCCCTCGAAACCCCAGAGGAAGCTCTGGGGGACATTTGTCCACCTTGTCCCCACGCATCCCTGGCTGCCCTAGCAGCCTCGGGGTCCCTGTGCGAGGCCGTGTGTGACAGGGACCCTCATGCAAGGGACACACGTGACACAGTGAGCGCAGTCCCYGCAGGCCAAGGCAGGAACCCCGTGAGTGCCACCGTGAGCAGGGGGACGTGCGGCTTGTGCGTGTCCAGCCCAGGGAGGGGACACGGGAGCCGTGTGGGTGGCATGGGGGGACCTGGGGGACCCGCGCGGGTGGCACAGGGGACACGTGGGTGTCGGGTGGCGGCGACGAGCAGTGGTGCNATGCCCAGATGTGCACACATGTATGTGTATGTCTAAGGGGATGCAGATGTGCACACACATATTTGCACATATGCATGGGGGATGCAGATAGGCACGAGCTGCAGCATCTGCGGCCCCGCGCGGCCCGTCCGGAGCCCGAGCGCCGCAGCCGCGTCCAGCACCCGGGCGGCCTGCGCGGGACCCGGGGAGCCCAGGGAACCCGGGGGGAAGGGGATCAGGGTGGCCACCGGCAGCGGAGCTGTGACAGGGACCAGGGTTGTCCCAGGCACCAGGGTGGTAATGGGGACCAGGCAGCGGGATGGCCCCTGGGATGGGAATCTGGGTGGCTCTGGGGACCAGCGTGAGGATGGGAACCAGGGTGACCCTGGGGACCATGGAGGTGATAAGGCTGCTCCTGAGGAAGACCATGGTGTCCACCAAGGGACATGGGCTGGGGCCTGTGTCCGTGTCCATGTGTGTCCATGTCCAGGTCTGTGCTGTTAGTGTCTTTGCCGTGGCCACATCTGTGCCTGCATCCGTGCCCATGGCTGAGACCGTGCCCATGACCGTGCCCGCATGGCCACACTCAGCTCCAGGCCGCGTGAGACAGCCCAGGGTGGCCGAAACCTCCCTCGAAACCCCAGAGGAAGCTCTGGGGGACATTTGTCCACCTTGTCCCCACGCATCCCTGGCTGCCCTAGCAGCCTCGGGGTCCCTGTGCGAGGCCGTGTGTGACAGGGACCCTCATGCAAGGGACACACGTGACACAGTGAGCGCAGTCCCYGCAGGCCAAGGCAGGAACCCCGTGAGTGCCACCGTGAGCAGGGGGACGTGCGG